CGTCTGCCTCCAGTGTCCATCCTACGGCCATTGCCCCCAATGCGAGGCGAGGAAGACGCACAAGGAACACATCATGCTCAGAGTGCCCGAGCCCACTTTTGCGTTCAACTATCAACCGGGTATGCATCTCTTTTAAGTACCTATTTCGTTGTTTCGACCAACATTTAAAAGAGATTGCTGTAAAGTAATTGAGGAAATGGCTTGAAAAGTGGCGTTGATGAGGCTTCGCCAAGAAACCCCCTCTCATTCACAAACAGTGAGGACATAGTAAACAGGGTTGTGCAACGTTACCAAAGCGTAGCTTTTAGATAATGTTGAGAGAACTTCTTGGCAGAATGTAACAAGCATAAGAAAACTGCGTCCAATGCACCGACAAGATAAAAGTTCAGCAATAAAAAGAAACCTTCCTGGGAAACGACAATGGCCACCGGGGTAGCCACCCTACCCTAGTAGCACCAGATATTGGCTCAATACTGTACCAACATTGGCCACGTTGGCTGCATCTTTGCCAGCATTGCCATTCCCTCATTGATCCAATATCGGACCTATGCGGTGGTCCAGTGTTCCCAAGTTGCACTTGAAAGTTTTTGGGAAATGTTGAAGTTCTCTTTCGGGCCACTAGATGTAGGTGTGGGTCTTGCTTTTCGCACAGTGCACGAAAATGCCCTTCCGTACTTCCCTGGAATCGTCCCTCACAGGAGTGTTTAGTACCTTGCCATATGTCTCGCCTAGTCTCATTATAGCACCCAATAAACTCTGACACTTCATCATGTTATTCCCATATTTGATACAGAGTCTGGAGCCCAGACCGAAAACATGCTCATATTTTCTGAGACCCCCTTATACAGCCAGGATGATCATTCCCTAGGGAATTGTAGAATATTGGTGGTGTCCGCGGATTCGCGGACCGTTAGGGAGGTTTCTTTTTTTCATTTTTTTTTACTCATTCTGGAGTGGGCAGCAAGGCATATAGGATGGCTGACGTCACCAGCGGTATTAAAACGTTTGAGGTAGACGTCTAAGACGTGGAGGGGCTCTTCAGCCGTTCTCTCAGGAACGTGATCGCGACGCAAGATCTACCAACAAAACGACTTGAAAGCCGCGTGATTCGTTCAAGTCAGTCATCCAGGAAGGAAATCTTCCCTGGAAACGTACTGTACTGTGGCGGGAGATAATGAACAGTACAAGAGTTGACCTTCCCCTGCACGCTCTAACAGTTCCTCATTTCCTTTCTCTAGGAGAATAATGATCATTGTGCCCCTAGGATGAGAAAACAGTGGGCAGAGTCCATGGAACAACTGCGACTCTATTCGGATGAAGAGAATTATTCTCGTGAGTGGTTCTCTTAGGGAATATGAGCTTATGTCCTGGGCTCCATGATTCTTCAAAAATCGGAATAACAAATGATGAAGTGTCCTTGTCTATAGATTCCTATTATAGGACTAGGCGAGACATGTGGCGAGGTACCTAAACACTCATGTGAGGGACGATTCCATGGAGAGAGGAAAGGGGACTTCTGTGTACTGTGCGAAAGCGAGACCCATACTTCCATCTAGTGGCCTAGAGGAGAACTTCAAACATTTCCTAAAAACTTGTTAGTGCAACTTAGGCACATTGGATCATCGCGTCGGTCCGACATTGATAGAATGGCAATTTTGGGAGCCAATATTTAGCCGACATTGGCTATATTGACTAAGTTGTAGGCAAGTGCACGATATTGGTCCAGCATTGAGCCAATACCTGGTGCTATTGGGGACAGCAACCCGTTGCACTTTTCATTCCATCCTAATTCTCGGGTCTCCATCGTCTTCATTCGCGGATTTTCGGACTTTTGACATTCATTGTGTTCTTGTACAGGTTAATCCATTCCCGATATGCATGCAGTGTTAATTTAATTACATGCTCAGTTTTTGTGCCTGTCATGCTACTGCTTCTCGTTCAATCAAAGTTAGGAATCAGGAAATCTTGAGAGTAAGAATAAATATTTCGTGAATTGACCGAACATGATCCACTAACGACGATGAAGCCAACTTCCATCCTTGTGACAATCGTAGGTGTGCGATGCGGCGGGTGCGGAAACGCCATCACGGACATCCGTTACAGATGCATCACCTGTCCCGGCTTCCACCTCTGTCCGACCTGCGAGGAGAGGAAACCGCACAGCAATCATCCCACGCTGAGAATGCTTGCTCGGACGAACCCCGCGGCTACAGAAATGAATCAGTCTTCAGCGCGTGAGTGCATGGCCATCCTCTCCATCCTCCATCACTCCACCCTCCATCCATAACCTTAATTTCGATTGTGCATTCGCCGTTGCTTTGCAGCTCTCGTGCACGGCAGAGTACTTTGCACGGGATGCAAGGGTCCCATCATCGGTTTCCGGTACGAGTGCGTGAGCTGCCAAGAGGTCAGTCTGTGTGGGAAATGCGAAGAAAAGGACAACACGCACCTTGAACACCCCTTGCTTCGATTTCCGACGTTCGTCGCTCAAAGATGTGAGTTGATTCGCATGACTGAAAGGACCCAATCGTCTCTAGTAGGTCGGTTGGTTTTTCCCCATACTATTGCACTGCGGATTGTTTTAATTTCTAAAGAGTTATTTTCTTCTGACTATATGTGAGAATGGTAGTCGAGAGTGCACTATCGCTGGTGGTAATAGGAAACTATCATGGAACTTGCTCAAGAAATATTCAATTTTCCGTATCTCCGCTGTTCAACCGGAAGCATCAATGGATTTTCTGAACACGTACAGTACCCATAGGGTGGTTCAATGAAAGCTTCACTTCATCCTAGCAAGACGAACTTTTTTCTCTCCTGTAAAGGCTGCTGCCATAAAAAAAGAAGTAAAGAAACCATTATGTGCCTATCATGAGTTTCATGCTGACTGATGAAAAACATGGGTGTGGGGAGAGAGGTAAGAGACTGACTTAGTTATTCACTGATGTCGTCCTGAACGTTGATCAACTTCATTACGGCCTGCCTCATCGTTCGGAAAAGAATTTACCCTTAAAAAACGTCGAACTGTGGACTTCGAACTGGGTGGATGCCCTTCCAGATGGAAATGCATTTGGTGGTGGAATTTTCACCTGGTACATAATTCCCTTACTCCCCCCTGTCATCCACCTGCCATTCAGCTCCCATGGATGGAGGTGGACATTTTGTAAAACTCCTCATGTACTCATATCAAACTCCTCTTGCACTCAGTACGTCTGTGAGTCAGCTCGAAGCTTTCGTCTGCGTTTCGAAGTGGTATAAACTGACGATTATAGGTAAGTGTCTAAGGGCGAACAACGATCAATAGAGCGATAACCCTACGGTTGCCGAGAGTGCATACAACGTGCTATGTTGTCCCTACATACTTCAGAGGACGGATTTGAATATCCATCCCTTTATTGTTCATGGGATGAATCCATTCTCAACATACGCATTACTATTTCCTAATTTAGTTAATATTAATGGGACTGCATGATGTAATGGTATGAGTGGGTACCTACCCAGTTGAGGAAAAAAAACTCAGGTCGGTGCCTTGGTTACGGCCACATGTTGCCTTCAGGCATCGGCTTGACAGGATGAGAATTTGAGATGTCATTTCCTGAATAACCTGTGTAAGATGCACAGATAAGGTAATTCGCTTATACAGAACAAGATTATTTAGGTATGCCTCGTCTCCACTGTCTTTAATCTCGAGTCTTTTGAAGATGCTAAGTGGACGTGCGGAGCGTGCATGGAAACTCAAAACCAAGGAGCACGATACAAATGCTTGGCGTGCCCGGAATTCGACCTCTGCTCTTCATGCGCTGCGGGACAAAATCACACCCATCATCCGATGCTTCGCCTCCAGTTCACTCAAGTATGCGCTTTACGTCCATTGCGGTGCATCAGACTTGGACGCGGTCCTAAGATATTGGCGCGAAATGATTGCATTCGGTCCGACGGTGTAGTTCATTCGCCGGCGGTTTTCGGGTTTGAGATGCTTCTCCGTCTACTTATGGCGACCCTGTATTTTCTTGATAAAACCGGAATCACCATCGTTTGTTCTTGCTGCGTGAGATATGCTGACCTTTTTTCCACCTTATTTATACCGAAATTAGTATGGACTTTTTCTCTATTGAGCAATCTGTGTTTTTTTCCCACATAATTGACCGATATTTGGGGCTAACCTGTTATTAACACAATAATTAACACAAATACACAATGTGATGCATACCACCACGAAGGACTCAACTGCTACGTTGTACTCCCTCATCAATTCATACCGGCTGTCAGCTCTGCAGATGTAGTCCTTCCATGTTTCAGTGCAGACTTTCAGTAGTTTCAGTCGTTCAGCCCTAGTAGCCTCAAGCTTCGTGTTGAAGCAAGTCGACCAACCGGTACGGATTGTTTCACTAATATGCAGGAATTGTTTGTTTTACATCGCCATTTGTTACATCACTGAGTTCGGGCGTGCGGCCCCGAAAACAGCACGTTATTTCAGTTCTGCCGGATGCAGTGGCACGTGAGGCAAGTGAGAGAAGTTTTAGAGATTTTATTGGATTATGATTCTCGATGTACCGGACTCACAGAGCATAATATATAATTTAAGTGTTTTCTGTCGAAAGTGTCGAAATTTCATGATGACGAATTTGTTCGTACTAAGTGATTGTGCATAGAACGAGGATTCGTTAAAACGGGCTTTATTCCTTTGATAATTTATCTCCACTGTTTTCTTTCTCTTTTCCTGGCAAATTTAAACCAGCCCGTTGACATCAAGATAGCACTGAGAAATAATCCGTGCCAGGAGACTTCTCATGCCGTCAAGAATGAACTGCCGGATGCCGAAATTTAAATAGAAAACGGATGGAAATTGGATGGTACCATGATAGAATCAGGGTCTTTATTGAAGATGAGGATCCCAGGCCAAGCCCACTCTTACAAAACGTCCACCTGCATCCGCCTGGCTGAATGACTAGGCGGATAGATGGTGGATTTTGAACCAGGTGGATTTATGCCTGAAGGGACATGTACCTGGCTCCGAATCCTTCTGGCATGTGGACGTCTTGTAAGGGTACCCATGCGAATACGGTATTCGCACGAACTTCAGATGGGAAGAAAAATTCGTGGCGGTTTCGATGGGGAAGACTCGAGGATTTCAAATTCAAATGTGACTAGAGATTATGCGGAACGGGGCAGCAAATGCTTTAGATAGGATTCATGCGCTGTCTCCAGGCAGAAGATCTCTGACAATTGTATCGCGAAGTGATTACCGGTCATAACGATGCATTCCTCACGTTTGACGTTTCCAGAAACCTATGAAACCGGCGCCTCGACGCACACGTCCCCCGGCTCCCCCGCCTCCGCCTNTCCCGTCTCACACATAGACCTTTCCTATGACGCTGTCTCGTTCCCCCTCTTGCTAGGACACGAATTCAGAGGAGGGACTTTCGTAGGTCCGCTTCGAATGGGTTTCTCAGGATTCCGGGCGATTTTCTCTTTTCCTAACGTGGATACTCAACCGGTTTTTTTTTTTAAATTTATATAGTATATTAGCACACGAGAATGTATAACCCCATAGAGATGATAAACCGACTTGGTGATTCCAACACCCGGATTCCACACCATTACTATCCAGGGAACGAAATGAATCTCAACGACTTTTCCCGATTATCATGAAAATAAAGAATTAAGAAGAGCAGAATGCATGAAGCAGGTACCCAGAGCACCGTCTGTAATAATGTCATGAGTCAGTCACATGCCCAAGTCTCCAATGGTATGCTATCATGAAAAATATGACTATCTCAATGATTGTTCAAAGGTAGTCGTGAAAGTTCCATCCCACGTCTGCATAAGGTGTTAAGTGAACCTTGAGGGAAAGTTATCCTTTCGACCTTGCTTCGTGGAATGAACGTCCCTTGTAAACGTATAGTCCTCGTTTTTGTGAGAAAAAAGTCCACATTGGCAGCAAGTTTATTGAGGAACGTTTCCCCGGGATTTTCTGGCGACGTTGTGTCAACCTTCATTGCATATAATTTTGTTGAAATATGTTGAGGGAAATACGAGGTTTGATCCAAAAATGTCAGGACATGACTTACCATTTTCGCGGGCTGGGGCCTCGGAGTTACCTGCTTTCACTTTCAAAGTATTCCCATCGAGAGTCCACACACCTCTGCCAGCCGTCTTGCAGCTTCTGGAAGCTTCTCGCGAAGCCCTCTATTCGAACGGCTGGAGTTTCACGTGTCGCATTTGTTAGCATAGCATAATGGAGCCATAGAAAGTTTGTAACTCCTTGTGACGTACGTGGCTGCAGGGAGCACCACCACTGAGCTAAGAAATTTAACTGGAGATGGCGCGCCCATAGAGTAGCATAGGGAAAACGGGTGCATTTTGAAGCCATATTGGTTGGGTCTAGGCTAAAGCGGGCCTGCGGTGAGCATTGGCGGAGTAATGGAGCAGGTACTGCGGGAACACTGGAGCAGCCCTTCTGAATACGGAAGCATGCCATGCCAATACCCGGCAACACCACTACCATGCACCTCGTGGTCGTCCTTCGTTTCCTTTAGCTTATGTTTACCTTTGAACGTTCACTCGAAGTTCGTTTGACTTTATGCCTTAAACTTGCTGTAAACTATGTCAACTGTGATTATGCAGGGGCGGCGTAACGTTATCGCCTTAGCAATCTCAGCAAAGGCAGGCCTGGAACTTGGAGGCCCACTCGAGAAAAAGGAGACTAGCCCACATGAAAGAAGAGTTCCGACATGACGTTATCAGCCCTATGATACTCTTCCAGAATTATTAGGCCTCCAATACCATGACTGCCTGCCATCATGATCACGACAGCAAGAAAACTGGGATGGGAAATT